TAGACAATAAGCAAGCGTTCGTTAGGAGGCAGGGGTGAACGTTAATCAACGATTGAGAGAAGGTAAGGATGAATGTGTACAACTTCTTCGGGAAGGACGTTCCACGCTGCAACTACTCGGTTGCTGAAGGATAAATTGCTTCCGTCGATCCTTGCTTTGCCGGGACGTAATTTAAGGGGATGCCTGCGCAAAGTTGGAGTATTAGCCTGGATAAAAAAATCGTCGGGGACGAAGCAACAATTCAGGTTATTCATGATACGAGAGGTAAGGATGAGGTCCCCTCGAAGTTGCCTGTAGGAAAGGGGAAATAGGTCGAGGTTTGACAGTCTGCTTTCATAGGGCAGTGTTCTCGGACCTTTGACCATTTTTGTCGCTCGCCTCTGTACCTTCTCTAAGACGGTACAGTCCTTGACAGTCCAACGTCTCCATGCCTGTATAGCGAATTCCAAGTGTAGCCGAACGAAGCTTCCGAATATTTTGGAAAAGCTGTGTTTTTCAAACCCCATAAAGGCTCGTCTAATCAGCTGTAATATAAATCTGGCCGCCTTCGTACAGTTCAGCGTTGGTTTGAGTGAGGAAGTAATCCACACTCCCAAGTACTTCTGATTCTCAACTTGTTGCAGCGGTGTACCGTTTAAGGAGTAGACCTTCGTGCTGGATGCTTTAAACCTGCCGATTTGAAGGATGTTGCATTTACTAAAATTGAAGGGTATACGCCAATGCTTTGACCAGTCCTCCAATTTGTTTAAAGTAGCTTGCAGATGGTTTTCGTCTGCCGTATTTTGGACGACTTTCCACAATTTTATGTCATCCGCGAACGAGATGACACCTTAGTCTAGGTCCCTGACACAGTCGTTGATGAAAACAAGGAATAATATGGGACCCTAAAACTGAGCCCCGTGGGACGCCACTCACCACAGGTACCCCCGAGGACTGCTGGCGACCGACTTGTACTCTTTGGAGCCGTCCTGTCAAAAAGTTTTGAATCCATAGGAAGAGGGGCCCGCGAACACCTGCGCTAAACAGTTTATGCAGGAGGCGTTGGTGAGGGACGGTGTCAAACACCTTTTTGAAGTCAATGTAGATGGCATGTACCATTTTGCCTTCGTCTCGTGCTTTGGTCCAGCGATCAAGTGATAAGTGCAGATTCGTAAGACGGGACCTACCACCGCGAAAACCGTGTTGGGCATCGGAAAGGAGGTAATTCTGTTCGATAAACTGCATCAACGCCTTCTTCATGATTTTCCCATGGTTTTGCAACAAATGGAGGTAAGGCTCACCGGTCTGTAATTATTTGCGGGCGCTCGGCTTCCACTCTTGAAAAGAGGAGTGATCGTCGCTGTCTTCCAATCAGATCGTAGGCACTCAGTAACGCCTGGAAGATTAAGGCTGGGGGCTTGGCCATTTCAGAAGCTAGCTCTTTCAACAGCTTGGCCGAGATTGCATCGGGGCCTGGGGAGGTCGATTCTTTCAATTATAGTAACTCTGTTTTGATTATTTCTTCGGTGAAGAGGACTGTGTCCAGAAAAGGCATAGCATCGTCGTCATAAGTGGGGGGAGAAAAGTCGGGTTCAGTCGTCATGACGGACCGGAAGAACTGAGAGAGGTGGTCAGCTTTGTCCTTGTCCTCTGAGATTTCGGCACCTTCGACAGCTCGTAGTAGGGGGATAGGATCCTTGTTCCGCGTGCTCTGTCTTATATAACTGTAAAGGACTTTGGGATTAATCATGGTACGGTTTAACAGAACATCTGTCTATTTGTGACAATGAGACGTTTGACCCTGTTCCTCTGCATTTTGTAACTATTGAGGGATTAAGGTGTCCTATCAATAAGGGACCTTTTCCACAGTTTTATCTTGTTAACTTCCCTTTTTAAAGATTGAGTCAACCGGTGAGGTCTGTTCGTCAGTTTTCTGCGCGTATTTGGGCAGTGAATAGACACGAGGTTGTAAACTATCTCTTTGAATGGTTCCAAAGGTTCTTCAAAATTTTCGGAGAGTGTAGATGTCCAGTCGATGAAACAGAGATCATGTTTCATCTGCTCGAAATTGCCACGCCAAATATTTGGTCGTTCGTTTTGCGGTTGGGCAGGCAAAGAAACTAAACTATATTCCCACATGAGAACTACATGTGACGTGCTGGGTGAGAAGCAGGGATTGAGTTATATGCAGGAGCTGGTGGTCGAATGCCGATTCAGCACAATCGGCTGAGGAGGAGTTCCAGTTGATGATAGGCGCATTGAAGTCTCCAACGATAAGGGTATTTGATCGCGTAGCGAGGGCTTTAAGCTCATCAACCATACCGCTTCTGGACAAGACAGATTCGCCCTTTTTCAGAAACATACAAACAATTCTTAACGAAGGTTGCTACGCCTCTACCTCTTCTGTTGCCTTTGTTTTTGCGGAACAGTTGAAAGCCAGGTATTCCAAGCTCGCGATTGTCAATCTGGTCCGACAACCATCAGTTCAGTTTTAGTTCAGTTTTATTAGGGAAATATAGGTAAATACCTTTGAACTCCCTTTTTTACATAGCTTTGATGCAGAACATGTGGCGTTGCCAGTAATGGAACTGTGTTAGGAA